GCCATCTCTCCCCGCCGCCAGCCCCCGCCCCTCCTCGCCCGTCGCTCCTCCTCCAGCTACAAACATGTCAGGGAGAACCAGCTCGTCACAAAGTCTCCCTTCCGCTCTCTCCTCCCCCAGCCCTCCCCCCGTCGCGTCAGCGGCGAAAAGCGCCCCCGCCCCCTCTCCATGACCGCCCAGGCAGAGAACGACCACCCGCTCGGCTTCAAACGCAGGCAGTCAAAGGCCTTCCAGGGCCTCTTGCAGAAGGAGCCAGTCACAAAGAGCCCTTTCAGGCGCGGCTCACACTCTGCCCCGCCCGACGACGACGACGCAGACAAACCCCCGCCCGTTCCTCCCAAACCCAGGCCACCCTTGAACGCCCAACACTCTGCCCCGTCTCCCTCCAGACCCTCCCTCGTCACCCGCCGACTCCACGGCCCGCGCGACGCAGGCCGCCTCCGCCAGCGCCGCAAGACTGTCACCTTCGATCCCAACTGCGACATCCTTGAGTTCGACGTCGCAGAGAACGAACTGGACGAGGACGCCTTTTACTCCGAGGACGACTACGGCCACCCCAGCGACGACGACATGGACCCCAGCTACGACTACGACAGCTCCAACCATCCCGACGACAGCATCACAGGCTTGGTCGACTCCATGCTCGAGGACGCCTGTCCACACACGCCCCCAAAGCACGTAGAGGAAGAAGACGACGTCGAGCTCCTCCCTCCTTCGCCCTCTCCCGTCAAGAAGCGCCCGTCGCCCCCTATTCACGCCCCTCCGGCCCCCTTGGAACCAGATCGTGAGTCCCTCCGTCCAGTAATATCTCTGGCCCGCCGGAAGTCTCCGTCCGCGTGCCGTCGCTCGTCTACCCAGTCGCTGCGATGCACACAGAACCGCTGCTATCGCTGGAGACGAAAGCATGCCCTTCGGCTTGGCTCAATCGTCGTTCTACGCATGCCGTCGGTCTCCCATACATCGTATCGCTAATGCACACCCATAGATGAGCGCACCGATCCTTACTCCGTGCCTCACATCAAAGACGAGAATCCGCCCTTCAACAAGGACGAGTCCTACCACTCGATCCGCTCCAACGACTCGGACTCCCTCGACCCTTCCAATCTATCTATTGGCAACTCCGAGGTCTCCCTCACCAACCTCGACAACCAGTCCCTGCTCGCCGACACGAACATCCCAGCGGATGACTCCCTCATCAGCAGCACGTCTTTTGCGCCTCAAGCCGACTCGTCTCCTCCTGGCCGGCCCCGCTCCCGCTCTGCGACGCCTCTAGACCAGTCGTTCGATCGCTCCCGGGACCGCTCTTTGGAGGCGCGGTCCACACCGTGCCTCAACGCCTCGCGCTACAACTCTCCACGTCCCGGTTCCGCTACTGGCTCGCGCGCAGGATCGCCCTACCATCAACTGTTCCGGCCCGCAAGCACGTCGAGTCTTGGCAGCGTCGGCCGCCGCGCGAGCCCGTTCATCACACCGGAAGGCGTGCAGCAGAAGATCCGGCGTAAGAGTGAGGAGGCCCTCTCCCCTGCTGAACGGGCTGGAAGCGCTAGTCCTCACCCTTCCCTCGCGCCTACATCTGCCCCCGGTCATGGTAAAGATGAGCGTGAAGAGGGCGAGAACGCTGCGGCGGAGACCTCCCAAGCGACCGATCTCGCGTCCGAGGCTTCTCCGACTGAATCTCATGGCCAGGTCTCCCCTTCAAAGCCCGTCCCACTACTCATGGTCCGCGGGCAGAATCCAACTTACGACGGGGTCATGTCCATCGACCCGGAGCCGCAGCCGATCGACCCGCCGCGTCCCACGTTGGCTGCGCGCGCCCACAGTATCGACGTCGGCCCCGCGCTGGATGGGAAGACCGACGCGAAACGTGCGTTCGAAGGCCTCGATCTGGACTTTGAGCACGGCTTCGCGCTCGGCGACGAAGGCATGAGTCTCAGCGCGGGCTTGGGCATGCGCTCAATGGCGCGTCACGCGAGCCCTAGTCCGGGCGCGAGTGCAGCCCCGGGCTTGGGCGAATGCGCCACTTCGCCTGTTGCGCCCAGCCCTATCCATGCCCTCAATGTGCAGCGGAGCAGCATGCACCTCGGCGACGTCAGCGCGCTGGATAAGCTCATGGAGGACATGGCGCAGGGTGCGCAGATCGACCCGAGCGCAGACTTTTCGCTCCTGTCGGAGTCCGAGCCTGGGGAGCGGTCATTACCGAGCCTGCGGGTCGAGGCGGTGACCGAGGGCGTGAAGGCGGCGACCTTTGCGCTCCCGGATATCGTGAGAGACGACGATGAGATGAAGATTGATGTCGACGAGCAAAACGTGCGGCCGCCGACGCCGGATGGCGGGTGGCGCGCGGCGGGGGAGAGCAGACTCAATGCCGCTTCGAGGGTCAATGGCTCGAGCGCCGGACCGCCCGCGAAGGACGCGATCCGCGCCCGCGAGGAGCTCATCAAGGCGAAGAAGCGCGAGGCGCGGCGAATTGAAGAGGGTCTGGACACCGATGATGAGGAGCCACTCGCGACGAGAGCGGGAGCGACTGCAACACGTGCGCCTGAGGACATAGGCTCGCCCGGCATGCTGCACCCAGGTGTTGCGACGACTGCCGGACGGCCGTCGCGCCGGCGCAGCATGAGTACGGGCGACGCGGAGGACATCCTGACCCGCACCCCGGGCGCGTCTCAGCGGCGCGCGGCCGCGCTGCATCAGGAGGGCCTGCTGGACATCACGGCGCTGCGTGGGCAGGACGACCCTCTCGCGGACAGCATCAACAGGGAGTTGAAGAAGCTGGAGGCTCCGAAGCGCACCGTGAGTGGACCGATTTGCGTAGGGTTGCAGTGATGTACTGACAGGATTGGGGACCAGAAGTACCATGTGCGCGAACATTCGGAGACGATTTATGCGTCGTCGGACGCGGATCGGATCTCGCACATGCGCGGGGCGGGCGACGTGGACACCGGCAAGGCTTGGAGGACTGTGCGGAGGCCGTCTGATATGGTGCGTACTGCACATAGTGTGTCGTGCTCAACGTTGACGTAAGGCGGGGTATGATCGTGCAGAACGAGTACTCAAAGCAGATCAAGGAGCTTCGTGAACAGGCTAAGGCCGGCAAATCACACGGCAAGGTCTTCGTCAGAGGTCTGTAGCTTACCTCCAGAAAGGACCATGTGCTGACTCCCAAGTCTTGCGTAGTTGCGAGCCTGAGAAGCCTGAAGGTGCCCATACCAAGTCAACCGACCGCGATCACCTGTACGCTGAACAATGGTATACACTTCGTCACTACTCCGGAAGCGGCATTGGGTCAAGAATGTCGTATCGATCAGGAGTTTGAGCTGTGAGTACAGCGCGGAAAGCTGCTCAGTCCATACTGACCATCGTTACGCAGGATCGAGCACAGCAAGCTCGAATTCACGCTGACGATCAAGGTTCGCAGGGACCCGCATATCGTCGCGCAGTTCAAGGCGAACCAGCCACCTCCAGTCGCACGTCCGCCTCCGCAACCCTTGCCTCCGCCTGCGTCTAAAGGTGGTGGGTCGTCCAAGGGCGGGGGCATGCGCAGCTTCCTCGGGCTTGGGTCTCCGAAGAAACCCAAGGCTGTACAGCGTGCGCCTTCCCCCGCTCCGCCCCCACCTCCTCCGCAGTTCAGGTTGCAGGAGAACCTCGCACGGTACTTGAAGCCGGACGGCTCCCTCGCGCGCGCGTTCATCTCGTTCAAGGACGTTGCCGCGCACTGCGACACCCGGCTGCTCGAGACGGCATTCCCGCTCATTGGGCAGAGGCTCGAGGTGGGTTCTTCGGCAAAGGCGATGCAGATCGGGGAGATTGTGCTGCAGATCTTCCGTCTCCCACCACTGCCGGGCATACCGCAGAACCAGCTGCCACAGAGCCTGGAGGAATGCCACCGAGGCCTGAGCCATGTCCGATGGCACAAGGCGACATACCAGCAGGGTACCCTGACGCAGAGCGGAGGCGATTGCGCGGTGAGTCTTCGGTGTTGTGTACATGAAGTGGTGGCTTACCCTTCTGTCCTGCACTAGACGTGGCGGCGGCGACACTTCAGGGTTATCGGCGCTAACATGATCGCGTTCAATGACGTGACGAAACGTGCGATCACCACCATAGACCTGCGCAAGGCAATTGCGGTCGAGGACGACAGCACGCCTGTGCTCAGTCCTGCCTCTGGCGCGACTACTTACAGCCACTACGACGACGACAGGATGTATGGGGTCGAGCGCGGGTTCCGTTTGGTCTTTGGTCCTGGTCCTGACCAGGAGATTACGTTCTTCGCTGATACGGATGCGGAGAAGCATCGATGGTAAGTCGATTCGAGCGACGTTTGGAATGTGTACTGAACGCTTTTCCTCCTCAGGCTGGAGGTGTTGCGTGCCATGGTCGGTCGGATACCACCCAATCCTCTCTGGGCCGAGATGCTGTGGCAGCAACAGCAGGAGCTGGCCAAGAACGCTGCCCCACATGGGGATGGGCAGGCAACGACCCGGGTTCCTCCTCGATAGACTCCTCTGCTCCTCCTTTTCCTATTGATGACGCTCTCGCCTGTCTCGCTACGACTCATGTCCCCGACACTCAATCCGATCCAGCCCGATATCTGTACGTCTACGTCTTACGATAGTGCGCTCTTTCTCTTGTTCTTAGCTACGACATTCGAAGTTCTGACGAGTACTATGTATTTGTGTATGCGGCCGGTTCCATCCATGTGAATGCATGCGTTTTATGCCCCGACGACGTACCAGGCTGTGTGATGTCGATGAGATCTGACACTGCAACTTGCCGTCCGTCTGCGGAGGGGCCAACGCAGGTACCAGCCTGCCGGATGCCGCGAGAACAGCATGGTCGTCTAGTAGGTTTGCACTAGGGCGCATTCCCTATGTCCCATCCCTTGTACTGTCTTCGTGGACGCGTCGGAATCATGTACAAGGGACCCGTCGTTTCGTCTTGTGGAGGGGCGGGATGATATATAGCGTGACTATGAAAGATGCGCGGAGGCGACTGGGCATGGCGATATGGCCGAGCGGTCTAAGGCGCCAGAATCAGGACGTTGTGCCATCTGGTCCTCACGGGCGTGGGTTCGAATCCCACTGTCGTCATTCGTCTTTTGCTCCTCGCCACTACGTCTGCCGCAGCTCGCAGCGTGATCGAACTGAGTCCGACGTCGACGGCGAACGTGCTCCCCGACGTCGACGAGCGGTGGGCATGGGCGTGCACGGTCTCACCTCCTACCTCCGCGAACACAAGTCCTTCCTTTCTCGCACAATCCAGCTTCCTCTTCCCCCTCATCCCGGCAGCGGGCAAGGCGCAGAGAGCCAGGAGTGCATAACGGTAGTCCTCGATGGATGGTCGTCAGTGGACCTCGTTTTCTCTTGCGGCTTAGCTGACGTCTGTGTGGTCTCTTCCTTCTGCAGATTCATTTATGAGGTCGTCTACTGTGCTGACCTTCCCTGGGTGTACGGTGGAGAATATCCCCGGCTATCCCAAGTCATACAGCAAGTCGTCAATGCCTGGATAGAGGTCGGGATGGACCTTCACTTTGTTTTTGACGGTGAGTGTTTGCGCACGTAGCCTGCGCCCCTTTCACAGCGCTCGCTTCTACGCCTTCGAAGTTCGCAAAGAGTCAGTAAGCGAATTAACGGAATCCTGCTACCCGTAGAGAACTCCCGTACCTTTGCTGTTACGCTGCCGGCATCGCTGAGAGCTCTATGTCGGCCTAGTACAGGGTGTATCCTGCCTTTCCGGCAATCGTCGTTGAGCCCGCACGGCTAGTGTCTGCACTTTGACGCAGTGTACGCGGACTCTACTGTCCCGTACGTGGGCGTTCCTTCCTGTGCCTCGCATTGCGCGTTCGGAGCACTCATTGTCCACCGGCAGGTCCTTACCCAACTCTGAAGTTTCCTACTCTGGTGTCGCGCATCACTCAGAATTATGTGCAAAACGGCTTGCTCTTCTTCCGGACCTCCGTCACAGCTCGCTCAAATCCCCGTTTCCTACACGAGACCGCAATGCTGCCCCCACTTTCCTACGGCGTCTGTGTGGACACTCTCGTCGACCTGGCTGCCGGAGCACATCAAGGCAAGCTCCATGTTCATGTCGCGGATGAGGAAGGCGATCCGTACGCCGTCGCGCTTGCTGGCCGGCTGAATGCCTACGTCGCCGGACGCGACTCTGACTTTGTCGTGCTCAACGCAGAAGGCTATCAGGGGTACATCCCTCTAGACGAAATGGTGTGGACGGTCACCCAAACCTGGGACGGCGAAGGCAGCGTCTACTCTGTGGACACCGAAGCTGACCATGACGACGGCGGGTTCAAACCCGTGCGTTCCAGCAAGAGTAAGAAAAAGCGTGCCGGCGTGCACCAACGCGCGGGTCGGGGTATCATACCCCCGGAAGAGGCTCAGTCGCCCGACGCCCACCTCGCGCTATCATTGAATGTCTACACCCCTTCGACGCTCGCATCCTACCTCGAAATACCCGTCTCTCTCCTCCCATTACTCGGCGCTCTAGTGGGCAACGACTTCACTGGCTCGTCTGACGACTCTGGCCCACCGCCCGCGACGACGGCCGAAATCCGCGCGAACCGCCGCGCGAACCTCCAGCGTCTCTTTTTCGAACGTCAGCTTACGTTGGGGCAGCGGATCACGCGCGTCGCCAACACGCTCAACGACATATTGGCTGCAGCGTTTGGACAGAGCGCGGCGCCACACAAAAAGAGGGCCAAGAAGCATATCGGGAGCGTCATGGACTTGATCGACGCGGCAGTAACAGCTCTCCTACTCCGACCGCTCGACACGTTCGCCACCGGGGAAAAAGAAGCCATCGTCGAGCGTATCGTGGAGGCTACCCTGCAGTATGCGATACCCAGGCCCGATGACGAGGTGGAGGACGCGGAAGACATCACACGAGGTGCGGCGGGAGATGTGCTGCGCTGGGTCTCCGACGTATGCCCTTTACACGTCGCGGAGGCGTGTCCGCTCTTTCTCTCCCTCTCCAGACTTGTATCGCCGCAAGAGACGGGGTCGCCAGACGAGGCAACCCCGTCAGCGCATCGGGCAACGGAGGATCCACACGATATCATCCGACTGAACTACACTGCGGCCTACAGGCGAGGTCACTTTGATCCGCACATACTGGACGCCGTTCAGTCGGGGACGATGTGGCCGAGGTTGTTCCTGGAGGACCCGGACAAGGAGTGTGTCGAGCGCAGCGTCGCGCGCCCCGTCCGGGAGTGGACGTATGCCATTCTTGACGCCAGCGTAGGTCTCCCCGTTCCGCCCGAAACTGGAGAAGAAGGCGACCTAGAGGAAGAAGGTGATGGGGACGAGCTCGTCGACGTGGAAGAGGAAGGCGAGGATGAGGATCCTCTGGCTCGGCTTCGAGGTGCGCTGAAAGAGCTGGACGAGTCGGACGCGGGCGACGGGGAGAGCGCAGGAGAGCGGCCGCCTCCGTCAGTGCTGTCGGCTTCGACCGCTCTGACGCGTTCGCAACCGAAACTCGTCACTGAGTACATCCGCCGAGGAACCAGGCTTGCAGCGGAAGAGGTCACCGTCAGGCCGTTGGTTGATATGCTCCACGAACTCTCATGGGAGAGTCCCGTCCATTCGCAGACGGCTCTGCCGATCCCTCCGCCGCTCTGGCCGGAGGATATGCGGCGCAAGCTCCTTCTCGCTGCACTGGGCTCGGACTGTCCTGCGGTGGCTTCGCTCCCCGATCACAGTCTATTGGCTGTTCTGGCTGTACGGTTCGTCGTCCGCCAGATGCACCTGCGTGCGCTTGCAAGCCCTACGGTAAAAGAGCGCCAGTTGGAGCGGTGGACGCAAGCAGAGGCCCGTGCGTTCCTTGCTTGCATATCCAGTCAACACGCGGAGCCCGTTGCGGACACAGCAAGTCCCGCACATAAGCAAGACTCGGAGGCCATACCGATTGCCGAACGGCATGTGCAGCTGGTCGCGCAGATCTCAGCAGCACTGGAGGCCATCGAGCAGCTCTCGCACGTGCTTCTCCTCACCCCTGGGATACCAAGTCCTGCACGTCGCTTCGCAGGATCTGAGTTCCATGCGCTCCTTGGCGGTTCAGGACCGCTGACGGAGGAGCCGGAGGAGGCGATGTGGCGGGCGTGTCTGGAGGGACTCGAGGACGCGTACGTCGTGCTCCCGCAGAAGAAGAGCAAGAAGGACAAGAAGGCGAAGACCTCCCCTGAGGTCGTAGGGCCTGTGAGGACGAAGGGACCTCAGCCGGTGGTGTCGAAGGGTGGAATGTTCGGGCTGCTTGCGGATGCAGAGGCGTGAGCGAAACCTGCACATGAGGCCGGTATGTAGGTGTATGTTATCGAAGCAGCAGTATCTACGGCAGATGTTGTATACCACCTTGTTACATTATCGATGAAAGCGCGACGACGTATGGGTCGCGACAGACTCAATAACGGGGCCCCGGTGTGAACGAGCACGGGCGCCTGCGGGGAGACCGGGGAAGCCGACTGAGAGTCAGAAGAGAGCCCGCGCACGTTGGCTTCCTCCACCGAGCACGCCCTCCTCCTCCTCTTCCTCCTCCTCCGACTCACAAGTGCTAGGCTTTCGGCGTCGAGAAACTACATCTTGACGACTCTGCGCGCGTCCTTGCGCTCTCACCATTGCTTGTCCGCGAACCTCACTGAGCGAGCTATAGCCGGGAGTGTCTAATCCGCCGCCCTCGGTCTCCGGTGCTCGACCTTGGCTCTCTCAGTCGCAGCATGATTTCCTGCCGCCTTGGCTCTCCCGCGGGACTATCTATTCGTCGACCAGCTATGGTCAGGAAGATTCTGCCCTTGCAACGCTCACCGCTCAGGCAGTCAGTTCGGAGTCTATCTGCTAGGCTCGCTCACTCCCAGCCTCTGCAAGCCTCTCGTCCTCTGTGTGGTAGAAAGACGAACCTTTCGTCTGTTCAACCGATCGTACACAAGAGACACGCAACGTACGTACACGACGCACTCTATCACAGATCCTAGAGGTGCGCCGCGCGTATATGCGCGTTCGCGCACCTACCCTGTCTTGTCCTTCTGGCATGTGCTCCCGCTTCGTCCAATGCAGCATCTGAATGTACCATAAGCTAGACGTGTCAACAATGGCATCTCACCAAAGTCCGTGCTCATCGTCAACAAGCTCCGAACGAAACCCGTCGTGGACGCCATAGATACCTTGCTCAAGTGAGCATTCCTGCCATGCTCCCTTCCCCTTCCGTCTTCGTCCTGAATGCGGCATCCAGATATATACACGAAAAGTATCCCGACGTCGAAATCTATCATGAGGACAGACCCGACATTCCAGACGGCGTCAAAGTCTGGCACCCAGGTAGCTTACCGAGCGACCGGTCTGCTGCAGACACTCACCTCGTCTACAGGGCCTAATGCCGTTCCAATCGACTTGGTGATCACCCTCGGTGGCGACGGAACTATCCTCCATGCATCCTCTCTCTTCAAGACAGGCGCCGTCCCGCCTGTCCTCAGTTTCTCTATGGGCACTCTCGGGTTCTTGTTACCATTCCGTGAGGACTGCAGCCGTGATGCGTCGGGTACCACTTCGCTGACTTGTGGTTTCGGAAGACATCGACGATTACACGAAAGCCATTGAAAGCGCCTTCGCGGGTCGAATCACGGTTCTGCATAGGATGCGTCTCTCGTGCTCGTTCCAGGACTCGGGCGGCGAACACATGGACACGCAGTGTGAAGGTACGTCTTGGCGGCGGAGCTCTGACCCTCACCAACTCACGACACATAGACTGGCAAGTCATGAACGAGGTCGCACTACATCGTGGGTCGAGCCCTCACCTCAACACGATCGATGTCTTTGTGGATGGGCAACATTTAACGGAAGCCGTGGTACGTTCCATCCTGTATGTGGCTGGCACGTCCGTACAGTCTCTAAAATGCGGTCGTATCCCAGTCAGATGGTCTGATAGTCTCCACCCCGACCGGTTCGACAGCATATTCCCTCTCTGCAGGCGGGCCGATAGTGCATCCGTCGTTGAGCGCAATCGTCTTGACGCCCATATGTCCGCGGAGTCTGTCCTTCCGACCGCTCGTTTTCCCGTCGTCATCTTCCATAACTCTACGGGTAAGTGC